GGCTATTACTTTACTTTCTTCAGTAATAGAGTATTGTATTTTATCACTTTGCTCATGCAAAACATTAAAACCTTCTTGTAACATACGAAATAGTTCATTTATTTCACTCCGTATAGTATGATGATCATTTCTGAGTTTCATCATTTCATCTTTTACAACAAAAAGTCGTTGACAATGCCGGCCACCTCAACGTGGTGCCAAGGTCCAGTACTTTGTATTGTCGAGGGAAGCCGGGGGCCAGCGACGTTTTTCTTTCGGAAGACTTGTTAGCGCTTAGGCTAAGGCGTTACACAACACCGGTATCAGCCGCGTCGTGCTGGGGCAGAAATTATCCAATAAGGTCCTGGGGCACGTGTCGACGTGCTATCAGTAGTATCACCCGCACCAGGTTGGTGGTGAAGTGGAGGAAACTCCCGGCCCTTTACTGCGAGGAATGCAGTGGTACTCAGCTGCACTTATCCAGGCCAAGGTGCTTGTTCTCCACAAAACCCTTGTTGAGGAGAATGTGACATTCTGCCTTCTAAGCGAGACGAAACTATCTTGTGCGAAAGTGTCGAGTTTCACAATCGCTGGTTACCAACATCATGGAGTGTCCTACCCCTCTAAGGGAGGCGGTGTTTCGATTATTGTGCGTGAAGATCTGCCAGTAGAAGTAGGACTCACCGTAGTTGCAAGCATTGAGCATGCTCATGCAACGATCCACATGTCAGAAGGTCTGGCGCTCACAGTGACGTCAGCATACTTCCCTCCGGGGAGAACATACACAACTTCGCAACTTGACACGCTTTTGACGACAAGCGGACCTCACCTCATTGGTGCAGATGCTAATGCGCATGCAATGGCATGGGATCGCGCGATCTCCACTGATACCCTTGGCGGTGTGCTAGTACAATGGTGCCTAGATAATGACTACGTTATATTCATAACACTGGAGATTGCACTCACACACACCACACGCCATGGCCCGTCCGCGCCAGATGCGACAATATCCCGAGAATGCCCTCTAGAGTCATGGACGGCATCCTTCTCCCCGGACAGCGGCCATTACATCATCCTCTTCGAAGTAGCAGTAGGGGATGATAATGAACCACTGCGGTTCCCTCGCCCTCGTGCGCCCATTTATGCATGGAAGAAAACGAAATGTTCTCGCTCTAGACAAATGTCAAACGCCCAGTGCAATAAATGTCTCAAAGAGAAAATGGGCGTTCACAAGAGAGAACGACTNCCCATTTATGCATGGAAGAAAGCGAAATGGTCTCGCTTTAGAGAAATGACAAACACACAGTGCAACAAACGCCTTAAAGAGAAAATAAGCATTCGCAAGAGAGAACGACTACTGACCTCCGCCATCCGTATCGCAACAGCTGCGGCGGTTCCCCGCGGGGGTTGAGATACTACCCCTTTTTGGACTCCAGAATTAGATGAAATCGAAGAGAAGATTCACAATTCTAAACCCTCTTTCTATCGAGACGGACTGGTAGTACGTAGAAGGGAAATGCCAAAACAAGCGTCCCATAAGAGATGGAAAACCCTCTGTAATAACATGGCCGTGGTAGACGGCTGCTGTTGGAACATTTTGAAGGGGATCTACGACCCACGCCCCCTCAGCACCCCGGCGATAAAGATTAATAATACGGCACTCACAGAAAATCAGAAAGCCAAGCACTTTATCCGTTTATATTCACGACGAGCTCAACGACACCCACATTCCTACCCTCCACCACCCATTCCAGTAACCGATACAGAATTCATCCCCATTACAACAGCAGAACTGGAACGGGCACAGCGTCTCCTTCCTGAAAGGACGGCCGCATGTCCAGATGGTATCTACGGCGAGGCACTCCAACAGTTGGGACCTCGTGCCAAAGCAGAGACTCTTGCTCTCTTCAACGAGAGCCTCCGTACGGGCGTTGGTCCAGTCTCTTGGAAAGTAGGCATTATTGTACCACTTCTTAAACCAGGGAAGAAAGCCACCGACTTGGATTCGTTCAGAGCAGTTACGCTCACTAGCTGTCTGTCCAAATTAATGGAGCGGATCATTGCGGCACGTATTAGAGATGTCATTGAAACCAAACTGACCCCGCAACAATCTGGATTTAGACCTGGTCACTCGACGTTAGATCAACTATTGCATCCACGCGCAGCCCTCACAAGACCCACCCTTGATTCGCGTACAGGTGCAGTATTCGTCGACTACGCCAAAGCTTTCGATACTGCAGACCACAATCGTATAGTTAGTGCGATGTGAGAAATGGATATCCCACCGCACATTATTCGATGGTCTGCATCTTTCCTGAAAGGATGCCAAGCCAAAGTACGCGTCAACAGTAAATCCTCTCCTTTAATGCTTTTCCACCGTGGCGTGCCACAAGGAACAGTCCTCGGCCCACTTATGTTCATTATCGTCATGAACACACTAAGCAAACGATTATCCCAAGTTCCCTTATTATTTCATGGATTTTTCGCCGATGATCTCACGCTAGCAGTACGACACGTCAACAGAGACATCATAAACAGTACGCTGCAACAAGGAATAAACACAGTGGACGAATAGTCCAAGAACTATTTTATGGACATTAATGTGGACAAGACGAAATACACACTTTTTGGTACCTCTGACCCGCATCCCTTTTTTCTTGAACTACGCGGTATCCCTGTAGGTCCGGAGAAAACACCTAAACTCTTAGGCATCACCTTCCAAAACCACCGAGGCATGTCTACCCATGTGGTTTAAACGAGACAACGCATGAATTTTAGATTACTACAACTTGCAGCAATCTCCTCCACCACATGGGGACCGAAGCGTGATGCCCTCCGAGCCTTCTACCTGACACTAGTTCAAGCCCAGACACTCTACGGTTTTGAGGTCTGGTATTGGGATGCGGCTCCCACATCACGCAAACCCCTCGATGCAGGTCAAAACAAAGCTTGCCGAACCATAGCAGGTATCCCCTATGGATGTCGCTCCGCCGACGCATTACGTGAAGCCCGTCTTCTCCCATTAGAGAT